TAATTATTATAATTAATAATCAATTTTTGTTTTTCAAATAAATTTTTTTTTCGATAATTAATTTTTATTTTGTTGATAAATTTTATATGTCAACAAATAAAATAAATAAAATAAAATATATCAAATTAACTAATCGTAAAAAATGGCATCAGGTCCAATTGGTGGCGGGTTTGCCCAAACTAGACAACCATTAAGAAGATTATTAATTGACCCTGAAACTGGTGGATTACTAGGAATACTTTTAGGAATGTTTGGTATAGCGGGTTATATGGCAGGACATAAAGTAGCTTATACTAATGAAGAAAAGAATGTAAAGTTAACAAAAGAAGCACCTTTTCCATGGCATGATAAATCTTCTTCTGACGATGGAGATGACGATAAAAATTATAAGTATAGATTTCATAAACTCGATTCTGGTCGACAAATACTTCAAGCACCAAATGCAATTAATACAACTAAAGTTCGAGTGAGCATGCCAAAAGAAATGGCGGAAAAAATTTCACCAAAGTTCTTTGAAGAAAATTAAGAAAAGATATAATCTTGATTATAAATTGTTGATGATAATTCGTTATGATTCAATTGTAAATGTATTTTTATAATCAACAATTCTTTAATTAAATTGTACAACAATTTAACAATTTACAAATAAATAAATATGTAAATTTATTATGAGAAAAATATTATCTAATAATTCATTTACTTCAAGCCGCATAACATCATGTGTAATATTTGAGAAAATGGGAGTAAAAAATAAATATTAATGTTTTTTCGCTTAAAGGCTCCGGACTGGATTTTAGTTTTTATTCAGTCTTCATAATATTAACTATGGGGCGTACTGTAGAAACAAATTGTTTCACATCATAAAATTGACTTTACAAAATATCGTCAATAAACCAAAATCGAAGGAAACAAAACCAATAACAATGCTTTGCTTACTTAAGAAAAATTTCCTTGGTTGAACAGTATCAGCATTAATTCAATCTCGACAAGAAAGTAAAAGGTCCGATAATTTTCCATTTCGTAGGTAGAAGTAGTAGCAATAAGAATAAACTTTGATAAACCAATCTCCTTATTAAATAATTTTAGTATTTTGTTGCCTCCAAGATTGGTTTTTGCAAATCCTTTAAGGAAATTCTTTATTGAAGACTTTGTGATTGCGTTTATATTTACTCATTTACCTATTTCTTTATTTCGCTCTATTTCTCGATTGAATTTTTTGAATAAACATATGAGAGATCTTTGACTTTATCCTTGCTTTACTACATTGCTACAGTCAACCCCCTCTAAGTGAACGCTTTCATTCATTCCCCAAGCTCGGGAATTAGAGATAAGTGCACACCCCCTTCCCCCTGCACCGCACGGCTTTTTCCATTCCCATCTATATATAAAACTCCCTCTCTAAAGTGCACTCCCGTGACTTTCACGTGATTGTCGTCCAATAAAAATTGAGCGACGTTATTAAATTAAAATTAAAGAATTGATTTTTTGTAAGAGATGATAAAGAATTAAATTTTATACTTAGTAAATGATAATAAAGAATATAAAGAATTAAATTTATTATTAGTAAAAGGTAAAGAATTAAATTTATTGGTATGACAGAATTATTTTGTAAGAGGTGGATAAAGAATTGTTCATTTTTTATTAAGTGACAGGGAAATAAAGAATTCTTTCTTTTTAATAGATACAAAGGTCATTAAAACAAAAGTACAAGAATGCAGACAAAGAAGCTTATTTAGTTGAAATTATTATAAATAAGTCATGAATCAAGAATCTTATTTAATAACTAAACTCTTGTAACCAACTTTAAAAATAAAACTTCTATTATAAATTAACCTTATCATTAATAAATTAAAAATAATATATACTCTTACATACCCAACCATCTAATTTCTGCACTCACACTCATCTCATTAAATGTTTTATTCTTTTATTGCTTCTAAATAAAATGTCTCCAAAAAGATAACTTTATCTAATTCTCAAAAATATGAATTTTGTTTATTCTAGTCAACAAATAAAACTGGTTAATTCTCTTGATAGATATATTAGTTTGAAAACAATAAATACAATGAGGCAAACTACAATAGAATCTTATCTTAATCAATAATTATATAAAATTTTTTTTATTCTTTATTGGAGTCACGTGCAACCAATGAAATGCTTTGTTTCTCTAAGTGCACGCTATCACTCATTCCCAAGGGGGGTGCACTTAGAGGGGGTTGACTGTATTATTATTTTTATATGAAAATATCACTTAAGATAACAAATGGATATTATCATAATTTGTAAATTTACCAACCAAATTTCAGCTAAATCTTCATGATTTCATTGAATCTCCATTAATGAACCCATTAAAGGCAACGGATGGTCCCGGGAAATGATTTTCTCGTGTGAAATGCAAATAATAATATTTAAATACAAATAATGAATATAAATGTAATCAATCAAAGAATTTTTAGAAAAAAATCAAAACCACACTTGGTTTAGCGTTATTTGATAGAATAGACAAAATTTTACTATATATACGTGTGTGAAATTTGTTGTGTAACTAGTCCAAATTGACAATTTGGATAACAATACAAATGCCAAGAATGAATTTTATTAATATTAATTGCCAAGAATAAATCTAACAACCGAAATTAGAATTAAAATAATAGTAATAAATAATATAAATAGTAAATAAATATAATTGTATCAATGTATTCGTCCAAGAAAAAATTACAATAATATGAAATAAATGTTATATAATTTGACCAGATTTAATTAATATCTGCTTCCGATGGTGATGGTCTTCGTCTTCTATTATTAACCTCGAAGATAAATTATTATATTTTATTTTTTTACTTAGTAAAGGTGGGATAAGACTTAATAAAGAGATTATTAGTAATTTAAATAATACAGTTGGTTGCCACATGTCAGTTGTTGAGTTGAGTTCCGATATTATATCTCCTGATTGACAACACGCAAGATTATACGGAATTGATCCAAAAAACATTGTAATGAAAAATGTCCCAATTGGAATAGATAATAGTGGAGACGTGATGTTTAATAACCTATGAATTGAATAAGTAGAAAGATGCGTAAGGAAGAGATCGTTCGTTGTTAATGAGAAATTTTCTAAATTACTACCACTACTTACCACCAGGGCGAAAGAGGAAACATTCTGATGAATAGTAAATAGTAAAACAAATTTTCGCGATTTTCATCAACTTGTTTACGAAGATTAATCAATTTATTTAAAAGATAAAAATCCGCAAATGGTTTACCAACGAATTTACTTAATAAATACGCAACACTTGCACCAATTGATGTTAATAAACAAGTAAATAGTGTTGCTTTCATGGGACCATACATAGCTCCTGCTAATAAATTCTATTAATGTGTGATAAGTAAATATGAGTAAATTTGCGTGCGCACAATTTTTTATAAAAAAATTAAAATGTCATAATAATTACATGATTTCATGCTTACTAAAAATAAAGCACCAGGAATGGAGAATGCTTGCTTCCAAATATAAATAAAAGATAGCACAAAAAGTATATGTAAATAGCCGCGCCATGAATTGTTGGAATAACTATGTAATATTATTGCTTGATTTTTTACATCTTGCATTGAGGTTGGTAAAGATAAATCAGGAATTGTTCTAATTAAATAAAATATTATCATAAGCGATAAAAACGCGCATGAAAAAAGAAATGCTATTCTAGAAATAAATTTGGAATAAAAAAGTCTTTTATTGATTTCATTTCTTTTATTATAATTGTTATTGTCATTATAACACATTTGATTTTTCTCATCAAACGTATAAAAAAAAGTTGTAGTTTCACTATTAATACTAACTTCCATGTCATTAATGTCTGTTATATTGTTTGTGTTGATTTTGTTGTTAATGTTACTATTATTTGCTAATACTTCTTCGTCATTGTCGTGATTATAAATTGGAAGTATATAAATTTTTGACATTGCCATTCTTATAAACTATATATATATATATTTTTTTTTTTTGATTCTTTTTAGAAATTTAGATATTGACTTGTTTATTATATAAGTATGATTTTTGACAGAGCTCTTTTTTTTAAAAAAATTTCTGTAAGAATGAAATAAACTACGTATACGTATATGTATATATATATAAAAAATAAAAATTTGTACGTAGATACATTCATGCATAATTTATATTATTAATAACACGCACGTTACATCACACGAACCAGTTTAAAATTGATTCTAATTTAAATTTACAGACCTACTATTGCGCCCCAAAAATTTAAATTACTAATTAAATTTGCCCAAAATGACGAAGAAAATTTTTATTGTTAGAATTAGTATTAGTATTAGGGATAAGTCGTTGTTACCATAGTATTTGTTCATAGTGTGTTTGATTACTCATTTATACATAGATGTTTGACAAATTTTCTTGTACATGCATGCATGGCTCTCGTAATTAAATTATATCTAGCGTATTCAGGGGACCTGCTTATTATTATAGTTCACAAAAAAAATCGGGAAAATGCCAATTTGGGAAATTTTTATCGGAAATCTTTCAAAAAATGTTAAAAAAATATTCTTAATGTCTTTATTCGATTTGCTTTTAACCTCAAAAAAAAAAGGAACTTTTATTTAATTGAAAGAAAGGGAATTAATTATTGCTAAAAAAAAAAGAACATTGCAGAGAAAATTTAGTAAAGAAAAAGAAAAATGATGTTCTAAGAACCGAATGTCTATGTAGGAATGGGGGTGGGGGTGGGAGTGGGAGTGGGAGTAGTAATAAGAGAAGTAGCATTGAAACTTGAAGTTGTGTAACTATTGCACCTGCTGATTAAATTAAGATTGGATTTAAAAAAAAAATTTTAAATCATACAATATTAATACACAGACAGACTCGATAAGTCAGCCCGCAGTAATCAATTGTTTAAAGTACTCAATAGTATAAATTATGCGGCTGACTTATCGAGTCTGTCTGTGTAATACCTTCTACTTTAGATCTTGCAACTTGGATCAATAAAATAACGAAAATAGTAAGAAATAAGACGATTTTATTGTTGAGAGAATTCATTTTTTAATATTTAATATTTTTTTTTTGAATATTGAAATTATTTTTTTTTTAAATTTTGATTTATTTTTTGATTTATTCGAGATGAATTTATAACTCTCCCAAATTATAAATTAGAATAAACAAAAGCTAAATGTTTTTTTCGTAGAAGCCTATAATTAAATCATTAAATCATCACGAATATAATGCGTATACAAAGGGTCAATACAATACTAACAAAATAAAGACATAGTCTTTTTAAATATAATATTATTTTTTAAGAAGTTTAATTTTATCAAATAATATTTTAAATTAAATATTATTTATTAGAATGACGAAGTCTATTACATAGTTGACGACAACAAAAAATTCTGCTATGTAAAATTGGAAGACTTATTCTATTGCCATAATGATAGACAAATAATGAAAAAAATGTGAATTTTTGAAGTTGCAAAATTTTTACGCATACATGCAGTCCAAATTGATTTTTATTGTTATTATAATTATTTATGGCATACTGTTAAATTGTCACACTAAAATTTAAAAAAAAATTATGGAAATCCAAAAGCTATATATAAAATCATCTATGCCGATCGATTGTCTATGTTTGTTATTTACTATTATTATGTTTCTATAAATTTTTTCTAAATAAAACTACTCTTTTAGCATACACCATGGCATAAGTGTATTCGTTTGTGAGCTATGTGAACTTCTATATTGAAGGGGCTTACTATTTTGTTGAAAATGAGTCGTAATGAAATAACACCACATAAAATAATAGAAGTTTACTTGTTATCTTGGCCCTGCCGATCTTATAAAAAATTCCCTGGTTGATAAATGATTTGCGAAGTAATGTCAGGAATTTTCAATGTTCTAGACTTGTGTGTGTAATCAATATACCGTAAAAGAAAAAATCGAGAAACATTATTAAATAATATTGGCCGCTGCGCGCTATTACATAGTTGACGACAACAAAAAGTTCTGCAATGTAAAATTGGAAGTTGCCATTGTTGATAATGATAGACAAATAATGATAATTATTTACGACATACGAGTGAAATCAAAAGTTATAACTAAAACCGTAATGTCATCATACCAAATATGGAATTTACAACGTTCTCGACTTGTGTGTGTAATCAATATACCGTAAAGAAAAAATCGAGAAAACATTATTAAATTAGTCAAGAGATTCTCTATATTGTAAAAACGTTGTTGAGTTTTTTCATTTACATATACATAAATAAAGGGTATAATCCAAATTCTATGCTTCATCTCTCAAATTTATATAAAAAATTGGCAGCTATTGTGATAAAAAATGAATGAATCATTGAAAAAAAAATTTTTTTTGAATTTAAACAAGCATACTTTGCAGGCGAATTGATTAACCAAGGAGGTTGATTATATGTTTAAGGGAAAGTATGAAAATTTGACAATTTATTTAGCTTAGTTGGGAAATGTTTTATATTTTTCAATAAAAATAATATAAAATATATTATATAATAATGATAGTAATAATAAATATAGTAATTATAAATTATAATAATAAAAGCAATTAATAGTAATAATTAATAACAATATCGTAATTATAATAATTAATATCAAAATTCAGACTCTGAAAGTTTTTCTAAATTACCCGGGAGGCCTAAAAGATATTTGGATACATTTTCAGGAATTTAATAGACAAAAGGTGCTTGATGTAATTCTTAATGAAATGTTAGATCGTATGATTAATAATTGTCCTAAGTAAGGTTCCAAATTCTACAAGACTGGAGTTTGCTCAAGAAACTAATGAATTAGTAGTAGAAATTGATGATGATGATGATGATGATGATGATGATGATGATGATGATGATGATGATGATGATGATAACGGCAAAAACAATCATATACTGTATATATCAACAATCATTTCCAATTTAAAGTTCTTTATTAGATATAGCGTCTGCTAGTTTTTATTGATCCACCATCCATTGCTTTAATCTAGGACATCAAAAATATGTCTTGGAAAGTGCTTGAAAGGATTCCCTTAATTCTGCAAATTGTTCCTTGGGAATTCTTGGAGAGCAACCACAACCACAACCTTTTTTTTAAAAATCAATTGCCTTTTGATATTCATTAGAGCCGTTACAATTATCACTTTTCATATACACTTATCCCTATATATAATTTTATGTTCACTTTGTAGAGTTTTCTAATAATTTGACATCAAATTTATTAAATTTAAGGTTGGATCGAAAAGCAATGCTCACTTTATTATGAAAACCCTTGTTAATCTTGACTAAATAAATACAAATAAGCAAATGTTAAAAAAAAATTTTCTATCAAAAAAAGAAATGTATAAATATGATTGATTTATCAAAAACATTTTTACAATATTAGAAAAATCATTAAAAAATTTTTTTTACATATTTAAAATAATAAATATTAACTCAACTAAAACCTTTTTAAGGAATGCCATTTAAATTGTCTACCACTTGTGTGATTGATTCAATCATTAATGCTAAAGAAACAAACGATTTCAAAATTATTGAGTCTAATGCCATAATTGCAAGAGTGAAATAAAACATACTGTTTAATTAATTATAATTAATCAATTATGGATAAAAAGTAAACAATCTGAAAATTTACACACGTGACCGGAAAATCTGAAAGTACAAAAATGAGTTTGATTGGCTGAAAAATACGATTTCCATGTAAATATGAAACAAAACCATTGTTTTCATTGATTTGAAGCGTGTGTTATGAAAATTTTCCTTTTCTTTCGAAAATTTCCAGAGAGAGATAGTATCGTTGCCCAATTCTTTCGTTAATTAGAGTCACGTGTCAAATCTGAATTGATATGTAACATGGAAAATTTTTAATCGCGACTTTACATGCGCCCCCATATCAAATATCCAGAAAAAAAATTTATAATCTCAATCCTATATCTTTTACCCAAATTTGTTGGCATTGTAAGAACGAGTAACCAACCATAGAAAATTCCATTGAAAAGAGATAAAAAAATTACTCTATTGTACTGACTACGAGAAAAAACCTCTTATGATCCCAGCCTGGTGCTTAACCTTTATTATACATAACCTTTCATTAACAATCTATTGAATAATATGTGCTTATCATGAATAAATGATATCATCGAAACTTGGTTATCACCCTCCCCACTAAACCAATGAATTCAATCCAAGGTTGTAACACGAACTGGGAGTTGAAAATCAATCCAAATTTGGAAACATACAGAATCAATAAAAAAAAAAACTAAATCAATTTAAATTAAACAATTAACATGGATACTAATTTGCAAAAAATCAAATCAGAAGTATTTCTAGATCTTAAAAATAGAGAGACAAAGTAAATCACTATTGAGTTCATAAAATAAAATATTTTCTTTATTATTAATTTTAATATAAATACATATATATTTAGAGTACCCATTAAAGGAAAACGTAACATTCTAGTTACTAGTGCTTTACCTTATGTAAATAATGTCCCACATTTAGGTAATATCATTGGAAGTGTTTTAAGTGCAGATATATTTGCTAGGTAAAGTTTAATATTCTCAGTTTTTTATATAATAATGATGACATGTTGAAGTATTTATATACATTGTAAATATTAGGTATTCGCGTGCTCGCAATTATAATATACTTTATATCTGTGGTACAGATGAATATGGTACTGCTACAGAAACGAAAGCTTTAGAAGAGGGAATTTCTTGTCAGGAACTTTGTGACAAGTATAATGTAATACATAATGATGTTTACAAATGGTTTGAAATTGACTTTGATTATTTTGGACGAACTACTACACATCATCAAACAGAGTATGTGTAATATTTTTGATCACTTCTTATAAAGAAAAATAATAATCTTTTAAATTTTATTATTGATGATATAGAATTTCTCAGGATATATTTTTAAAACTTCATAAAAATGATTATCTTACTAAAGATACCGTGATACAATTATTTTGCGAAGGATGTAAACGGTAAGACTTTTACTTATTTAAAAATAAATAAAAATTTTACATGTCAAAAACTCATCAACATTTATATTATATAGATTCCTTGCAGACCGTTTTGTTGAAGGGACTTGTCCAAATCCAAAATGCAAATATGAGGTGTGTCAATTGATTTAACTAATGTTTAAACTTAAAAAGGTTATATATATCATATCAAGACAACTTTTAAAGTTTACTAAAAAAAAGAAATAAATTATTATAGGATGCACGTGGTGACCAATGTGATTCCTGTGGTCAACTTTTGAATGCTATTGATCTTGTTAATCCAAGGTGTAAAACTGATGGAAGTAGACCAATCACCAAAGAATCAACTCATATGTTTTTGGATTTGGCTGCTTTACAAAAAGACATCGAATCTTGGGTGGAAAAGACTTCTATTGAAGGAAACTGGACTTTAAATGGTAAAACTATTACAAAATCTTGGCTAAAAGAAGGTTTGAGGCAACGTTGTATCACAAGAGATCTTAAATGGGGTACGCCAGTACCTCTTGAAGAAATGAAAGATAAAGTATTCTATGTATGGTTTGATGCTCCTATTGGGTAAACAATCATTTGATATTTTCAAAAAAAAAATTGTAAAAGCTTTTTATTTAAAAATTTTTTAAAAAATTTTTTTGAAAAAAAAAAGATATCTTTCTATTACTGCAAACTATACTGAAGAGTGGGAAAAATGGTGGAAAAATCCCGAAGAGGTTAAATTATATCAATTCATGGGTAAAGACAATGTTCCATTTCACACAGTTATTTTTCCTGGCTCTTTACTTGGAACAAAAGATAAATGGACATTATTACATCATATAAATACTACTGGTAAGTAAAGGAAATTATTAATTTAATTACTAGTTAATTAATGCCTTTATACTAATCGATTATTATTAAACAAATAGAGTATCTTAATTATGAAAATACCAAATTTTCTAAATCACGTAATGTTGGTGTTTTTGGAACTGATGCAAAAGATACCGGAATTCCTGTTTCAGTATGGCGATATTATTTAATTATGATTCGCCCAGAAACAAGTGATTCCATGTTCACTTGGAAAGAATTCATTTCCAAAAATAATACTGAACTGCTTGCAAATTTGGGTAATTTTGTCAACCGTGTTATTAAATTTAGTAACTCGAAATATACTGGCGTGATTCCATCTTATACTGTGGATTCAGAGGCTGAACAAGAATTTATTAAAAATATTAATTTATCACTAACGAGTTATGTTGAGTCACTTGAAGCTGTTAAGTTACGAGCTGGTTTGGAGATTGCAATGGATATCTCTCGTCAAGGAAATGGATTTCTACAAGATTCTAAATTTGATAATACACTTTTCAAAGAACATCCAAATAAATGTGCATCAGTGATTGGTTTAGCTGTAAATTTAATCTACCTTTTATCTGCTTTATTTTACCCATATATGCCATCAACCAGTGAATCAATTCTGCGTCAATTAAATGCTCCTACAAGAATTATACCTGACACATGGACTGGAACTGATATTCAACCAGGTCATAAATTAGGAAAGGCTGAATATCTTTTCAAAAAAATTGATGAGATAAAAGAGCAAGAATTTCATTTAAAATATGGTGGTGGTTCTAATAACAAGAGTTAATTACAATAACTATAATCATAATAACTAATAATAATAATAATAATAATAATAATAATAATAATAATAGTTTCATCTGAAAAAAAAAAATCAATTGTTCTATAAAATTCATATTATGTAAATTATTTTTTATTATATAAAGTCCAATCAATCCGATATATTTATTATCATCTAACAATAATAATTAGTAAATGAAGAAAATATAACACTAGGACCCCTGAATATACTAATTAGAACTCTTCGTACAGATTGAAAATTTCCTCAAAGCAAGTACCAACCAACGGTATACCCGGTATACTTGCCGATCATCAGAAAAATTTTTTTTTTAAAAAAAATGTCATTTTTACAATTTGTAAGTAAGAGAAGAATAGATCAAATATTTCTTTATAAACACCTTCAAACATCGCAAGTATTAATTACAATTGGTAGAGCATTACAGGTATTTTTAAAAGTCATCTTTCAACATTCTCCCTTGTACACTGAAACAAAAGACACATAATAGTAATTGTGCAAATTTTCAAAAAGGATGTAATAATGTAAATAAAAAAAAACACATTAATAAAAAATATTTTATTTAATTATTTTATTCAATTTTTCACAAATAAAAAAACCATTACAATACAATGTGTATTGATAAAAAAAAATTACATGTACATATTAAATTAGAATAAAGCACTTGATCAAATACAAGATGAAAGGTTAAGGCCACATACACTGCGTAAAGATCATTGGTTGCCAGTTGTAGCAGTATCAGGATTTTCTAGTTACTCTTCAATGATCACAACATTCAACAAATTACTATACAATCTTCAAGAAGCTGCCAAGAAGAAATCAAAGAAAAAAATTATGTTGAATAATATCAATATAGCAGCAGAATTAAATAATGAAAAGAAAATTGGAGAAAAAACAAAAGCATATCAAAAAATACTCAGCAGAATAGATAAAAAGGAGGAGCAATTTAATGCTGCCAATAGTGTTCTTGATAACAGCGTTGTTAATTTATGTTCGATCCTTAAAGATTTATCAAAAAATCGATTAGAGGTGGAAGGAGAAAGTAAGATCAAGATATATTGGGAGAGGACAAACATGAGTGAATTGCCTAATTTAGTGAAAGGATTGCAATGGCCAAATTGGGTAGAACATTATCAATTGTTGTTGAATAGAAGTAGACATTTGAAAAATAAAGAATTCAAGTTGAGAAAGTTTCCTAAGGCATTGAAAAGGAAAAAGAAAAATTTAAAAGAGTATTTTAAAAACAATGCAGCACAAATTCTGAAAGAAGAGGAGGAAAAGAAGGCTAGAGAGAAAAAGAAGGCGGCTAGAGAAGAAAGATGGAAAAGATTCAAGGAGGAAAAGAGAATGTAATTTAAACAAGCAGCGTTGATGAGAATGAGATTGAAAATGAAATTTTAAGTTTTTTTTATGTTAATAATATAATAATTAAAAAATGTTTAATAAATGTATTAATACAAAGAAATGTTAAATGGTGATATTTTTTTGTCCTTGTTATAAATATGCAACTAATTATTATTATAAATTTAAATTTACATCTATATAAATATTTTCTTAAATTTTAGAGTTTCTTTCATCAAAGCATCATTTCAAATCTATCAGTTTTGAATTTAATGATTGAATCTCGTTTTTAACCAGATAGTAATAACAGTGAGTTGATAATCGAATTTTATGGTTAATGATAATATTGCTATTATTACTGTCACTACTATTGTTATTAATACTATTATTATCTTTTATTGTTACCAATAATAGATCAGTGTTTATTTAGTAATGATGCTGATGACCTGACCATCTACAACCAAATTGAATGTGAGCCTTTTCTGGACGTTCTTTAATATTTTGTGTAAAATTTTAATATGGCTATGACAAGAAAGAAGTTAACTTGAAATGTTTCCTTAAAAAACTTTTGGAAAAAAGGCAGTTTCAAAACAATTGAAGGATATCTTGAAATCTCTGCCATTACCAATTGCTCAAAACTTAAATTCGTGAAACTGCTAATAAACCTTCAACTTAGCATGAGTGATCCTCAACTGTGGCGGGATTAATAATTAATTGATAGTAATCGTTTTTTTTTTTTGTAGACATTTAAAATGACAAAATGTCGTCCCATTTTAATTGTAAATCTTTTGTTTCAGTAGGTGAAATGAAGCCAGATTCATATTGATTTACTACCTATTGAAGTCTTTGAAGCATTGTAATTGTAGTAAATTATAATTTATTATCATCATAATTATCAACTCTATTATAATTATTATTACTATTATTATTATTATATTGAAAGATAATATAACAGTTAATTTATAATGAACAAGTATAAGGATTGTTCATTGTTTAAAAGAAAATTTATTAGATCATCAAATAACATACCAATCTTTTTGTAAAATTCTAATAATATATATTCATGAAGCATTTTTATATAAGTGCCTAATTTCTTACCAGTTAAGTATGAATATTCGCAATGGTTCTTTTTTCTGAGTAGTTAGATAAATTATAGCCTGCTTTTTGTGCTATTTTATTAACGGTGGTTAGTCTTCCCCATGCTTGGTCTTTTCTTTTGGTTCTTTCCTGCTTGTTTTTTCAGTAAAGAAGTTGAGAATGGTTATTGTTGATTCTCTAGTATTTAGTGATACATGTAAAATCCTAGATGAAATATTTGATTAGAAATATCTATATTATCGCCATATAATCTTTTCAAAGTAATAGCTTTACAGATACAATATTGACCAGGAAAATCAGCCGGAACTGCAATGACATTCTCATTTAAAGTTCTGGCAACTCAACAAATGGTGTTATGGAATCAATAAGTTTTACAATATCTATTTCTTATTTTCACGTAGATTATTAACTTTGCAACCTTTATTAAAATTATTGATAATAAATTGTAGATATTGAATTTTAATTTTCAAATTAAAAGACTTACTACAGTTCTTTATAATTATCAACATAAAGGATAAAGAAGCTAATATATGATCCTGATTTCTTTGAAGAAATGCTTAAAGAAAAGGATCCAGACCTTGATGGGGTTTTCAATATGTTATGTCATCAACCAGAAAGTTTAAGAAATAAACAATTTAGCTTGGTAAAAAATAAAATTGCTTCATGTATGATTAATGAATTATCAGGATTAGATACTTTGGCAAACATAGGTATTACTTCTATTTATAAAATAGCAATTAAAGAAAAACAAAAAATTTAGAGTCTCCCAAAACCCGGTTATCTGACAATACAATAAAAAAAATTATGGATTAATATTAAACTAAAAAAAAAATTATTGTAAATTGTAACGGAAAACTAAAATGGTAATTTATAAAAAAGTTGCGGTAGCAAAAAACTTCAAATTATGTAGATGTTCATGGACTACCAAGTCCAAGAAGAAATGTCAATAGAATATAACCTAATCACTTGTATTTTTACCAGCAGAAATGGGTTGTAAGTCAATTCACGGAGATTTTCTTGGTGGTCTGGAAGATGACATGGAAGTTAGTATTAATAGTGAAACTACAACTTTTTTTTATACGTTTGATGAGAAAAATCAAATGTGTTAT